GACTACTATTTATGGAGAAATAGGATCTAATTTGAGGATACCATTCCCCTGATAGATAAATTATGTATGTTTTATACTGATAATAAAAATATTTTTATAGGACAGTAGTTTTGTACTCACAATTTAAATAATCACAATTTTCTATTATGTAATGCTTTGTCATTTGATCAGAAAGGCCAGCTAATTTATCTTAGCATTCAAATGTAGGATATTGTTGAAAACCATAAATGGAAAGAAAGGTGAGAGAAGGTAGAAAAAAAAATTATATAAGTATTTGTTGCATGCTATGTATTAGGAAGAAATTCCATTTCTTATGACTCGGAGAAGAAAATCACAAGATTATACAAAACTAACACAGAGTTTGAAACTCTAATAGTCTCCCATCAATTCCAATCTCCAGTTACTTAGAAAAAATAAGGTGAGAGTTCTGTTTGATCATATAATTGGAGACAGAATTAAAGCCTCAGGGGAGATTCTCTTGAATTTGCTCTTCTCCGTATGCACATACAACTAGGCTTACCTGTCTACAACCATTCCAGGACTCAGAACTCCTATCACTCCATCTAGCAGAAAGAGAAAGAGTTGACTCGTTTCTAAATATTAAATACTTAAAACAAAAAAGCCCTCTGCTTGTTTCTTGTTTTACTAACCTATGCTATTTTATCACCACTGAACTAGATGCAGTAATCCATTCCCAGAAATTCTATACAAGAGGTGAGTTCTGCTCAGGTGGCTGCTATTAAAATTAGGAAAGTTGTAGAGAAAAATCAATAAAATTCAAGAACTGATATAAAACTGTAACTATGCATTTCTAAGGAGAGAAGAAAATACATTCTCAAATTGTGAGCAAAACAGAATGAAGAAGAAAATATATTTTGCTAAAAAATATCATATTTTTTGAAAATAACTGCAACAGTTTAGGTCTTTCCTGGTTACAAGGAGCAAAATCAACATAAGTGCTTGTTGCAATGCTGATTTCTTGATACATTTAATCATTGAATATGGAACACAAGATACAACATTTTAAACAATTTCCATATGAAATGGTTTTACATATGTTGTTAAAAAATATGGCAAAATTAATTGTCAGAATACAGATATCAAGTCCCCTTCCTTTTGAATTTATCATTGTATCTCCAGAACTCACATCATCCTTGGCATATAGTAAATTTATTGGTGTGCATTTCTTAAATGGGTTTACAAAGGAACACTCAGTTTGGGGCCCTGTGAGAAAAAGATGTCAAGCTCTTCAGACGGGTCAGAATTTAGCAAGAGCTTCTGTGGAGGGGAGAATAGGAGGTTCTTAGCGCATGCTACATTGGGTTCTAAGGTCTGTAGGAAGCAGCCCATGTTGTTGTTCTCATAGTGTTCATAAACCATTAAATTCCACCTAATGTTTAAATTTTATAATCATTGAAAGGAAATTATTAAATCAATTTCCCTCTCTGTATTCTAATGGTGTTTCAGTGTAGTATCAAAACATGTATGTACATGATAAGGTGAGAGCAAACAAGGTTGGTATGAGGATAGGTAAGAAACCCAAAAAACATGATAGTATTTGATATCTTCATTCCAAAGGAACTAATGCAGAAACTTTAAAGTGACAGAGGTCAATAGGAGAAGGGGATCAGGAGCTAGAGAAAAGTTCAGTTGGACAAAAATCAACTTAGAATGCAACACATTTGTACACGGAAGCAATGCTAGGAATCTCCCTATATAACTATCCTTATCTCAACTATCAAAAATGTTTTGTCCTTCTTATTATTGTTTATACTCTCTCTTCAACAAAATTAGAAATAACAGCAGAAGAGTTTCTGCCTGGAAGCGAAAGGATGGGGGAGATAAATGACCCAAACATTATATGCACATATGAATAAACAAAAAAAGATTAACTCAAAAAAAAAAAAAAACCATGTATGTTAGACAAAATGGATTGCTATAATAAATAGTTATGCTTCTAAATTTTTGCCATTAAATTCTCAGCTCACTTACAAAGGATGACGTAAACCATTATAAGTAACATGTTATGAGGAAACCCACATTTACTGCAAATGCAAAATGTATGGTATTCAGTATGCAAATTTCATGTTGTATTTTTGTCTTTAACCTAGAAAAGGGAGAGGAAGAAGAAGGAGGAGGGGGAGAAAGAGATGGAGATGAAGAGAGTGAGGGGAGGAGGAGGAGGAAGAGGAGGCAAGGGAAAAAGAAGGAAAAGAAAGGAAAAAGAAGGAGAATAAGTACAAGAAAAACAAGAAGAAAAGAAAGAATACTAGAGCATTTTTTTTTTACCATAATACCTTTGCTCTTGCTTTTGCTGCTGCATATCAATTTGTATTTCCATCATTTATTCAGTAGGTTGTGAGCACACATTTCACATTCTGTGGCAATTTGTAAACCAAGAGTTCATGACTAATGTAATTATTCACAAAAGGTAATACAAGTGAAAAATATATTACTATTGGTTTATTCAATTGTAGTTATATTTGTGATTGCTAAATGAGATAATAATGAAAAGATATTTATTTGATGTGCACTGTATTGTATGGAATCCTAGTCACATTCACAATTAATTTCATAATTATAATTATATTGTAACATAAAAATCCTCATTACTTACAAAATAACACATAATTCACTATAATTTAATTTGACTTAAGCCTAAACCCACTAACAGTAAAGAATTTCGAAACAATAATTGATGAGCATGCATAGGTCTGGAAGATCAGACTTCTATCATAAGGTAAAACAATTTAGTGTATGTTATATTAACATATGGAATCATGTTTATTAATAGCCCTAGTAATAGATAGCATAGTTCAAAATTTAAGAAAGAAAGGTAGTATAGCTTTGAGAGTACATCTTCCCAGTAAAAAATACCAAAATCTTTATATAATTCATAATATGTCACATTAACTCATTTAATCCTCATAATAACCATTGACACAGGTATTATTAAAATCCTTATTTTATAGACGAGAATACTGATACATAAAAAGATTGCATATTTGCCAATATAGTCATTTATGTGAATGTATGCACATATAAACACACAGAAACACACACTGATGGCCTGGATAATAGGAAATCTTATTCTGAGATGTGTTTTAATAACCTAATTTACATTAATCATTTATTCATCATGACATCACTGTTAAAAGTCTAACATATTATGCCTGTTTCACAGATTAAACAGAGGTACAGAGAAACATGGTAACTTGCCCATGTTTAACATGCCTGTAGAGCTAGGAGTCAAACGCACACACCCATATCTCAATTCCACTGCACTATACTCTCTCCTAAGGGATGAGAAAAGTACAGTTCATATGGGAGAGTTGGAAATTACCAATTTGAATGAACTTTGAAGCATTTCCATTTGTGGAAGAGTGTTGACTATTCGTGCTATCTCTTCACCCATTCCTTGTAGTAACTGAGATTTACTAGGATGCCTTGTGGTCCAGCTGGACTATGTCCCCAGACTCTTTTACATAGGTGTAATTCTGTGGTGTCTACTGAGGATGTGAGCAGACATTATCTGTCTTACTTGTCTCTCTGTTATTTGAGAGTTGTGCCTGTTTTTATTCACTCAGACAAGGAAGGGGTGAAACTCGATTAGAGAATTTAGACTCACAAATGGAGACCAAGAGATAGTAAATGCTCGGAATATCTAATTTCTGTCTTTAAACAAATAAAGTCATAGAACAAAACACGTTGAATTCATTTTAGAAAAAAGATTGCTTTGAGGGAAAGATTGACATCAATCTTGAGTTCTGGATATGGACATTTTGAGGGAGAGGAGTCAGAATAATAATAAAATAACAATTAAGCATGAGACCAAGAACCAAACTTGCAGGTGGACCTGTGGTCTGCAGAGAAAATAATTTACAATGTTCACAGGGAAAATTACACTATTCCTAGATTTCTGTAATGTCAACCTATTACACACGTTTGAGAGCAGGAATGCTTTTATAGGCATAAAACACATAAGATTTACAACTCACCATTCTTTTTGCAGAGAGTTACTCAGGAATTTTCACTAGGAAATTGTATAATCAGATATCTAAAAGAAAGCATAGGAATCAAAACAAAACATCACAATATGTTGACAAAATAATTGTCATCAAAACCAGCAAACATGGAACTGACCAGGTGGATGATAAAATGTGAAAGGCTTTATCTTGAAATGTACATAAATTTGTGACTAGTAAATCTATACATTCTGGTAATAAACATATCCACATACACAGTTAGGTTAGGTTTATCAAGAGTAAGGAGAGGAATAACTCATGTTCTAAATTTATAACTATTTTGTGGGTTATAGTTCAGAAAAAGATCTGGTAATTTTCCAAAGGTATATTCTCTTAATTATTTTTTCCATACTACGATGTACCATTTGTGTTTGATAGTGTGCTAAGTTATTGGTATTTAAATATATGAAATTTCTTTGACTCGTTTTTTTCCAGAAATATACTTTTTCTTATTATAAGTGATATTATTTGAGTTGTTATTTAATATTTTACATCTCTGTACCTGGAACCTGACATATTCCTGTCAATATCATATAAATTTTAAAAATATCCATTTCTTAAGGGCAAAATGGTTTCTGCTGGATATTGAGGGGGGGCGAGGGAGGGGGTGGAGTGGGTGGTAAGGGAGGGGGTGGGGGCAGGGGGGAGAAATGAACCAAGCCCTGTATGCACATATGAATAATAAAAGAAAAAGAAAAAGAAATCCATTTCTTTCAAATTTTTTGCCATTATATTTAATAGAATCTGTTTGAACCTAGTTTTTCTAATTATTAAATTTTAATTAAAATGTTTTATTTTCATCATCTTCTGTTCATTCTATTCAAATGTAGTTTAAAATTTTAGTGTAAAAATGTCAACTGTTGTTATATTTAAAATAGAGGTATTATTTTTCCTAGTGTGTATTTACATATTTCTCATAGGCTTCTTCACTCATTAGTTCATCTAGTAATGAGGGATTACTCATTGTCACCTTTCTCAGGCAACCTTCATCATAACCCCATTTCTTGACAAGCTCTGATTTTCTGCAAGTTTTTCATTAATTTCAGTTACTTCTCCTGATAGAGGAGAGCAGAGTTCACTGGCAGCGTTCACACTTTCCAAGGCACCAAACTCATTTTGCTTTTTCAATTTTGTCAAAGCTTTAGGCAGACAGCAGTATACAGCATCCCCCAAAGCTTCTGGTGCAAAATTGCTGATTCTTACTATTCCAATACCATTTTCTGTTGTTATCCATGCATGTTTATCTGTGAATTTACACAGGACAGCAGTGGGGTCCAAGGTCTCGCCACTCACAGTGCCATGTTCTCAGGGGTTCCACCTGGGTGGAGAAGGCGGAATGGGGCCGATAATATTATCTTAAAGACCTGAGTATAACCTCCCAAACAAATCTTATCACAGAAATTTGTATTAACACCTGTCAACACTTTGCATATGATCATGTTCGTGTAGGGATTAAGAACTTTCAAAACAAACTTAATACTCTCTATATTATTTTCACTTTCCAGTAAGTAACCCGTTAGTCAAGAAGAAATTGTCCTCATTTTGCAATGAGAAAGCAGTTCCAAAGAAGACACACAAAATATCAGACTGTGAGGTTAAATCCAAGATTAAAACAGGATCACTGAGGTCTAAAGTTACTGCTACTATAGCCACTTTTTTTATCATGGTGCAAACTGTGTGGCAGATGTTGCATGGAGAATTTATGAAGAAAAACATATAGGTAAGATTTCAAGAAACAACTTGAATTATTCATGGAAGCTGAGGTAAAATAGGAAAAAAATCATAAGGGGAAAGTCTAAGTAAATCTTTGCAGCTGTAAGTATTTGATAAATGGAGGAAGGGAACAGGAGATTCTTTGTCAGAGCAAGAATATTTTAAAAGTGTACCTCCTTCACTCCTACAAATGGAACTATAGGTATTGGGTATTGACTTGTTTTATCTATACCTCTTAGTGCTCTTGTACTCCCTTCCCTCAAAAGGAAGATACAGTGTGTTAGTGTGTTATGGGGGCCTCAAGAAAGACCCACAGAGGTCCATTTTAAGGAATTTACTTCTTTAATTAGTGCAGAGGATGACATCAATGTATCTCTTTGCCTACTGGCTTGCAAGCTCTTGGAAGTGTTTTGTAAATATCCATTTCCCTAAAACTAATGTTGCCCATTATTTATTAAACAAATTGTTGAATGAAAAAAAGAATGAATATGATGCCCAAATGTGTTTCGTCACAAAAGATGACTGAAATAGAGCTGTCTCTGACTTTCCTATTCACCTCTCTGGTTGAATGTAAAGTCTACTCTTAAGTATATTTGTTGAATATAAAGTCAACTTTGTTAAAGACTGAATCACTATATTTTTTCTTCATGACATTTTTATAAAAGAATGAAGTTCTCTGAGCCACACACATGAAAATAATTAATATATCCTCCTTTTCTGTAATGTTGTTATAAATAAGTCCTTATTCAAATGTAGCTGTATATAGTAGAAAAGATTCCAATTAAATTTCATTTGCAATCAAGTCAATATTTTAAATAAAAATAGTTTCATTGTCCTTATTTTGAATATTCAGCAAAGCACACTTACAATACATATTCTGAAAAACAATTCTATGATAAAAATGTCTTAGTCAATTGTTTGAAATACAATATGCTATTGTATTCACATTCTCTTCTCTCTATTAATTGGATTTTTATCACTGTGACGTAATACCCAAGAAAAGCACCTTAAAAGAGGAAAAGTTTATTATGGCTCACAATTTTAGAAATTTCATCCCCAGTTAGTTGACTTCATCACTTGAAGTATGAAGCAAGCAGAATCTCACAGCAACAGGAGGACATGTTGGAGGATGTTGCTGGTCCTACAGCAGCAGGAAGTGAGAGGCAGGAAGGAACTGGAGACAAGCTGTACCGTTTAAGGGCACACTCCCAGTAATTTGCATTCCGCAGTTGGCTCCACCCTCTAACAGTCTCTTTAGTGATGAATTAATCAATGGATTAGTCTGGTGATAGGGTAAGGCCCGCATAATCCAATCACTTCCGAAGGCCAGGTCTCTGAACACTTCTACATTGAGAATCAAGCCTTCGACATCTGAGAATTCAGGGGGCATTTCATATCCAAATTGCAACAACTGGGAAAAAAATAATAAAGAGCTGATGTAATAAAAAAATAATATTCACCAACATAGACAAATATTGAAAGTGAACTTCAAATTGACAATGTATTTGCTGTGATTGAAATGTTTGGGGCTCCCTATAATCCACAAACTGAAATCTTACCACTAAGGTGTTTATTTTAGGAGGTGCTCTTAGAAAATTAGCAATCTTATAAAAGAGATGACAGAGAATTGCATTGTCTCTTCCACCATGCAAGGATGCACTGAAAACTGGCCATCTCATAAGAAGCCAAGGTCTAGTGTCCTAAGACACTTGACAAGCCTGTGCCTTGACTTTGGATTATCACCCTCTAAAACTGTTAGAAATGAATCCCTGTTGTCTACAAACTACCTGATTTATCATGTTATCTTAAAACTACCTAAGTGGATTGAAATAGTGCTATAGCATTTATGAACAATTTAAGAGTATATCATATATTCTTTATGGTTATTGAATAGAATAAAATTATAAATACTTGGGTGGAAGCAATGATCAAAGACTTCAGGACTTTGTTATTTCTGGGTAGTGAGAGAGTATGGGAGATTAGTAGAGTACTGTTTAGGGAGGACCAAAAGTCTTCAGTGTTAATTATGAAACATTTTCCAAAAACGTTAATTATAAAAATGTATGCAAAATGTATATGTTTGTTATAAGTAGCACAAGTGGGCTTCCTTAAAATAGTCTCTCCTTACTTTTGATTGTCTTCATAATTATTAAAAATAACATTAATGTTTTGGCAATAAATGCTGACATCTCTCTGCCCTATTAGCTAGTGTTATTTAAGTTAGATAACAAAGTAATAAAATATTACAAAATAAGCACTGCCTCAACAATATAAGCAAGTACACTTGGTATCTGAAAGAAATTCTGCTATTTAATGTCCAAAGTAACTTTTCAATAAAGTTTTTTTTTTTTAAATAAAGACACTCAGTGGGTTGGTAGATTTTCTGAAGATTAAAAAATAACTTCAAAAAACATTCTTGACATTAAAAGTTGGGAGAACATCAATTTAAATTTTCAGGAAAATGACTGCTTCAGACAGAAATAACTGCAGGATGCATGTACATGTTTCTCAATAATATCCAAAAAAAAATGCATTAGTGAAAATATAGGAGATCTTCTAACACAGGTAACACATTAAGGTAAAGACCTCAGAAAAATGAAAACTGATTCTGTATAATTTAGAAACTAAATGGGAGAAATATAAGTTTCAACTGCACTCATATTTTGGTTTAGATTGTGATATAGCAAGTGAATTTAAAATCTTTCTGATAGTATTTCCATGATTTTTGTAATAAAAATATTTCTAAAATCATGCAAAATAAAACTTTTATGGAAAGTATTTATCCCACAGAATTTTTCTGAACATTAAATAAGATCAAACCACTTATTAAGGCTGGAGCATCGCTCAAATGAGAGAGCACCTTTCTAGCAAGCACAAAGCCCTGAGTTCAAATCCCATTACTATTTCCCCCCTAAAAAAATCCACTTACCAGATAAGATCTATCTTTTAAGAACAATAGGGGAGAGCAGTCAAAAATTGGGATGTGTGATTATGTGATTAGAGACTTGTGCTCAAGTCCTGAATGCACATGTTCCTTAATGTGTGACCTGGATCTGATGATTTCAACCTTTTCAAGTTAATTGCTTCATTGATAAATAGAGTATAACAATAGAATGAGTCTCAAAATGTTCAGTGTAGATTAAATATGCTAATTATCTTAGAACAGTGTTTGACACAACTGCAGTGTCAAATAATCAGTAACTGTTTCTTTCAAGTGATATAAAGAGCCAAAAACAAACAAATCAAGACAAAAAGAGCAATCTAGTACAGAGGTATTTGTAAATTGTTCTGTGATAAGAAAGTTACCACAAAGCATGCAAAATCACTAAACCCTATGATAAATGAAATGGGAATAATTTAACTCCACTTCAATTTAAGTGTCTATCCACTTTAGATCATTTCCTGTGTAATGTTCCTAACACTTCTAGTCATTAGATGTCTTCATTTACACCAGTACTATTCCTCTCAAAGATCACGTGGATAAACACAAACTTTTTGAAGGCAAAAGCTTCTTACATGTGGTTATTTTGTAGTTATGTAAGATAAAATTGCTTAACCAGAAAAATTAAATTATATAGAGAGCAAGCTCTTATTTGCCTTGTATATAGCACTAGAAGGATTTGCATTCAAACAAATACAAAACCCCTTCACAGTTAGATATTTTCTATACATATGCACACATGTATGTATTTGTAAGAAATAGATTAGAACTGTTACTAATAAACTACAATGTCCCGTCCTGCAGGACACATCAGCGTGGGTAGCGAACCTAGAAGGGGAAGAATGAAGGGACAAGAGACATGAAGGATGACAGCAAGACAGGAGTTCTGATCAAGCTGCAAAATTTTATTGTTCACACAGGGGTATTTATGTGCTGAGGGAGTGAGGGGTATGACGAGGTGCAGGCTGGTTGGCTGGTTCTGCTATAGGACTTCTGATAGGGTGCACGTTCGCGCGGGTGGCAAGGTAAACTCCCGGAAGAGAAGCAGGGATGGCGCCATCTTGTGCTGGAGATGGAGAAGTTGGGACAAACAACCGCAAAATGTTCCAGGGCAAGGTCAAGACAGAATGGCTCACAAAGGGAGCCTTGTCTCCGACACTACAAACCATGTTCTATAATGAAACAACTATTTGATGAATTACTATTTCCTAAAACAGAAATGTACATTTTATTGTTGTTATTTCTATGGATGTTTGGTGTTTCATTTTGGAACATCAAGGCCCAGGAAACACATCAATTATGTGTAACTGAAACAAATGTGTAAGAAATAATCCAACATAAGATATATTCTCTTATTTGTTAACTCAGTGTTATTATATTTTGTCAATGTACTAAGCAGTCTATTAAATCAGTTTCCTAAACTAAAATATCATATGACAAATTCGTTACCCTGAGTTCCAGGTGTGGCAATATATGAAAAGGTTCCCAATTAAGAGGTATATTTATCCCCCAGAATCTCTTTTAAAATCAGGGGATATTTACTGTTTCTTATGGAATAAATGCTGAACACCAAGAGATGCTAAGATCTAAAAGTCATGGATATAGTATTAGAAGATTTTAGTGTTTTCTTGAAAGAGTCTTCCTATATTTCCGTAAGTATGAGATCAATGCAGGCTAAAATGCTCTGATCTTAAGAAGGAAATGGTGAAAAGTGTAAAACGACCTTTAATATATCCAAATTATGGAGAGTGAAAAATAAGAACTTGAATTTTTTCTTTGACAGAAAAAAAAAAAAGCTAAGATATGGTTTGTATTGAGGAATGCGGGAATATGGAAGCCCTGACTCTTCTCAAGTCACCAGAACCTTCAGTGGGGCCACCAGGCAAATGAGGGTCCATAACTGATCTCTTGCTTCAGTAGCTAAACCCTAAGATTATTAGTTTGATGCTGATCAGATCAACTGTCTAAAGTTGCAAGTTACCTTAATTAGCAGTTAGCACAATTAATATGCATATAGTTAAGAATATCAGGTAGCGTTAGAATTCCAAATGATTGTAAATTGTGTCTAAATATTTTATCTTCATCTATTATTTAAATCATGAATATTAGATTCAAATTGAAAGTTTTTTCACAATTTTAACAATTCCAAGTTGAATAATTGTAAACACCACAATGTAGGCTACTAATGTGTGTCATTATTTAACAAAAGGAAAATATAAAAATAATTGCAGCATATGCCTAAAGTTGTCCTCCTAAGCCACTCTGTATGTTACTATCACCGCTACAATTTGTTGATCTCCCATGACATGAATGCATCTGAAGTGTGTGATTTGCATATGCTGTTATGTATAATCTCACTTTAGACAAATCAGAAAATCTAGCAAACAAGTTATAGAATAGCTAATGCATAATATGAATATTGAATGACAATATGAAGAATGAACAACTTTTTAAATTCAGAATATATTAAAAACATGAGTTTTATCTAGTCAAAAAGATGAGCTGTATAATATAGATATCACATTTTAATTAATTTGTTGTCCTTATGTGATTCAAATTATCAAGATTTATACTCATTATAAAATGTGTCTGTAGGAGCCAAAAATGGTCACATTAAATTGTGATTACTTTGCTAACAATATAAAAATTTTATAGCTTATTTATTTATTTCCCTTTATCATAGACAAATTACCTATCATTAATTATATTCTATCACAAAACAGGAAAACATAGCCTCATTTCTTTGTTGGACATACCAGAAAGGAGTTGCATAATTTTTTAGTATTATCTGGTTTTATTTTGTTCATTGTAATGCTGTTTTTATTCAGTTTTGTCTGTTACAGGAATAGAATTGTTTTAGATATTGCAAGTTATAGTCTGAAGAAAAATTAGAGGTGATGTCTTTATTTCTCCTCGATTTCACAATCCTCATGGTGCTATCTTTTAATAAAAAACAATTTAGTTAAATTATTTTCCATGCTAACTACTGATTATATTCTAAAAAGAAAATAGGAAAGAGGGGAAATGCAAAAATTCATTTTTGTTATTATTTCTCCCATCATTTCATGTTCTAAATTCAATTACCAAGGTAATGAATCCAGGAAAGTTAGTACAATAATGAAACATGGTTCCTTCTCAAGTACAATTGACTATTATAAAAGCTATCTATTAAAATATAGGAAAATATAGATCATATGTGTTTGTTGCTGGTTGTTTTATAAATACATACTGGATATTTCTATTTAAATTAAAAGACTCCAGCTGGGTAGTAGCTTAGTGTGAGGGCACTTACAAAACTGTCACTGCAGAACAGAAAAGGAAGAAAGACTCAAAAAATTTACCCATTTTTATATATTGCTATTTTTTAAGCTCATGGCCATACTTTCTTTGTATTCCCCATCATTTCAATACTTTCAATATTTTCAACATTTCTTTCTTCTTCCTACATT